ATAGTTGCAGCTTTCACAACGGGACTAAAGGTGTCCTCATAGTCAATGCCATAACGTTGCTTAAAGCCCTTTGCAACTAGACGTGCCTTATATCTGTCAATGGAGCCATCTGCCTTCTTCTTAATTCTATACACCCATTTGCAATCAATAATATTTTTACCTCTCTGATTTGGTACAAGATGCCAAGTCTTATTCCTCATGAGCGCAGAATACTCCTCATCCATTGCCTTTTTCCATTTAGGATCATCAAGTGCATTCTTCAACGATGTTGGTTCTCCTGAAATACACAACATTTCATATGGTATAGTTCCATCTTTCCTAATTTTAGGATTCCGTATACCTTTCTGTAGCCGGGTCATAACACGTGAAGAAACCTCTCGCTGCACCGCTGGTATACTTGCCACAGAAGATCCAGGAGAATCTGCTGATGCAGTGGACTGATTTGTCGTCATATGCGCAGGGGATCCTGTGGCTTCTGGTGTGGCTGCCCCTCCTGCAGGCACTGGCGCAGAGGATCCGCCACCCGACCGCGACTGGAGGCGCGCGTGATGCGGAGAGGATCTGGTCCCGCCGCTGGTCCCGTCTGACGCTGGCGCGCGGGGCGAGGGGCATTCGGCCCCGCTGCTGGTCCCGCCTGAAGCTGACGCGGCAGCACGGGAGTGGCCCGCCCTGGATCCAGGACTGGAGCCATCAGGGGCTTGATCCGAGGCGGATGCGGTCGCGTGATCCGAGATCTGCGCGCGTGCAGGGGTGGCAGGCGCCGCCAGATCTTCTTCGTCATCTGTGCCAGCTTCATCTCCTTCCTCAGCATGAAATATAGGATCAAAACCAGCCATATTTTTTCAAGATCTTGGTCATTTTGAGCACCGTTTTCTCCAGGGACCTGCACAGGCATAAGAGAAAGACTAGTACCAGCAGGAATATCATCACATTGGTTAGTACAATTGTTGTCGCCCCCCATGATCAAAAGACCGAAGATGTGAAGGAAGAAGAAGAATTTCTTTGCGGAGAAGTGCACCAGCATTAGGATGAAGGGATGCAAAGGAAAACACGGACTCATCAAATACAACATCTCTGGATATATACACCCGACCAGTAGGAACATCAAGGCACTTAACCCCTTTATGCATGGGGCTATAGCCTAAAAAGACACACCGTTTTGAGCGGAAAGCGAGTTTGCGTGTGTTGTAAGGCCTAAGATTGGGCCAACAGGCACAACCAAAAATACGAAGAGATGTATAGTTGGGTGTGACACCAAGAAGTCGTGTAATGGGTGTTTCAAATTTGATAACTTTACTTGGAAGCAAGTTGATGAGATATGTAGCAGTTAAGAATGCTTCATCCCAAAATTTAAGCGGCATGGAAGCATTTGCTAACAAGGCAAGCCCCATATCAACTATGTGACGGTGCTTTCTTTCAGCGGATCCATTTTGTTGGTGAGCATGAGGACAAGATACATGGTGTGATATGCCAAGCTTTTGAAAGAAAGAATTTAGTTTTTCATACTCACCACCCCAGTCACTTTGCATAGCAATGATTTTAGAGTTCAGTTTGCGTTCAACAAGATTTTGGAAATTGAGGAAAACTTGGAATACATCAGATCGCTTTTTCAACAGATAAATCCAAGTAAATTTACTATAGTCATCAATAAAACTTACATAATAGGAAAATCTACCAACTGAAATAGGAGCTGGCTCCCATACATCTGAAAAGATAAGTTGTAAAGGGGCAGTAGACACACTAGTAGAAATTGGGTAAGGTAATTGATGACTTTTTGCTTGTTGACATGGATCACAAACTAACTCACTACTAGGCTCATAAGAGAGTTTATTTTTGCTAAGAACATATCTAACTATGACTGAAGATGGATGACCTAAATGACTATGCCACCTTGATGTAGATAGCTTGGTGACCATATTTGCTTGTTTATTGGACCATGAAGATGATGATGATGATGATGATATGAGTGGGTAGAGTTCTCCCACGCACCGTCCTCTAAGAATGACTCTCCTTGTTTTCAAGTCCTTAACCAAGAAAAAATAAGGATAGAACTCAATAAGAACATTGTTATCAAGAGTGAATCGATGAACGGAAACAAGATTTTTAGAGGTTTGAGGAACATGCAAGACATTGGTCAAGTGTAAATTTTTCACGGGGGTTTTAACAATTGAACTGCCAATGTGTGTGATATCCATACCAGAACCGCTTGCCGTGCGAATTTGGTCGCCTCCATTGTACTTCTCCCGCATCGTCAACTTGTCAAGTTCACCTGTGATGTGGTTTGTTGCTGCACTGTCGGCGTACCAGTTGGTGTCCACGCCATAGGAGGCTGCATGTGCTTGCTTTTCTTCCTGGTCGTTTTCTTCATAACGCCACCAGCAAACTCGTGCACCTCCTGGATGGTGTCTGTAGCATATCTGACATTCTGGATAGTCATGCTGTTGCTCACGAGCCTGCTGTTGCTGTTGCTGTCGAGGACGGCCTCTGAATCCGCCACCTCCATTGGAGGAAGACGACTGTCGGTTACCGCGGTCACCACGATCACCACGGCCACGGCCTCTTCCTCCACGCCCGCGAGATCTACCACGGGACTGGCCACGGCCTCTGTAGACCGCATTAGCGGATGAATAGAACCCGCCTGAAGATGAGTCGCCTAGCATCTCCATCCTTTGATCAAAGGCAGCAATCTGGGCAAAATGATCGTCGGCTGTGATGATGTTTTTGACAGCGCCGATCGCCGCCACCACGGGGTCGTAGTCGCGGTCCAGTCCGGCCAGAATATAGTCCACCATCTCCGGATCAGATACGGGACGACCTGCAGCAGCTAGTTCATCCCCAAGACTTTTCATCTTCGCCATATACGCCGAGCTTGACATCGAGCCCTTCTTGGTATTGGTGATGGCGATTCTCAGATTAGTAATCCGAGACTGAGATTGTGAGGCGAAGAGATTTGTCACCGTCGTCCAGAGCTCAAAGGTGGAATCTTTCCCAACAACTTGTGCAAGAATTTCTGGAGACATGGAATTGAGAAGGTATGATAGAACCTGCTGATCTTTGGCGATCCAGGGTCCGTATAGGGGATTCGGCTCTAGGGCCGTGGTCTTGTCTGCCTTCGTGATCTCCATCATCTTGGGTGGAGCGGCACCGGTGTTGTCCAGGAGCCCCGTCACCTGCGCGCCTCGCAGGGCTGGGAGGACCTGCGTCTTCCAGAGGATGAAATTACCTCTTGCGAGCTTCTCAGACGGCGGCGATCCAAGGTTGAGGGAGATGCCGGCGGAGGAAGCCATGGAGACGATGATGTGTGGTTTCTAGGGTTTTGGATTGTGGCTAGATGTATGAGAAGAGGTGGCTCTGATTACCATGAAAGATATGAAGCGTTCCTACTCCATCGAGGGAGCCGCGTGGTAGTTTATATTGATGCGTGGCCGAAGCCTGGCTTGACGTACAAGGTTATGACAGAAAGAGTTTGGGTAGAATACAAGAGAAGGAAGGAGGTTGAGATTACAACTCTATATTCTAACAGTCATATGTTTGATTCCACCGAGCAACAACGTAAGCATGATAAAAAAAATCCATCCATAAGCACGAGCAAGCAACAGTGCACATCAAGCACTATTCTATGCACACATGTGCCTTGCTTCTACTTCAATCCCATGTCAAAATCAAGCTGGGATCTACACCCGAGCGACAACCCTCCGATGACAGCGGTAGGAGCGACACGACCACCGATCGAGCGTCCAGTAGCACACGACAACAAGCCCTTGAAATTATGTGCATACGAGACGTACATAACTATTTTTAGCACAAGTCGAGCCAAAAGAACCTAAAGAGACAAAGACCTCGCTGAGGATCCAAAGCCTCCAGCTTCCACAACTGCAATATAAACAAATCTCCTGCCTTCACTCCTAATTGGCGTTTGACGCAGTCCATTAGCCTCCGAAATGCCGCCTGCTGGCCTATCTGCAAATCTTGTTTGTTTTTATCTCCAGCATCCGTACAGGTCATCACAGCGATGAATTCCATCACTAGTATCAACGCCCATACCTCGGCGAACTCACCAGCGGCTCACATAAGACAGACATGCCGCTTCTTGCTTCCCTCAGCAGAACTGAGATAGTGCAGCTTAGCCATCCCTCAGCTGAGTCAGTTTCGTCCTTTCCTGGTATATCGAGCTGCCATTATTTCCGCCGACAGACGCACTTGCCCCTTGGCTTGCTCTTCTATCAATGCAATGATACGCAAGCTTTGCATATTCGAGAAAAAATTACTTTGAGTCTACAATCTCAGGGTGGTACGACTCCCGCGAGTTCACCTCATGGTGAGTCCCTCTTCACTTCTGTTCAATCAGGTGTACACCAAATGCCATGATTTAGCGTGCAGCAAATTGTCGGTAGAATAGGACGGGATATGTTTTTCTCCAAGAATTTACCAGATTGACATAGTGTGTTAGAGTATTCTAGTATGATGACTTTGTTCTGTAAGACCCATTCTTCTCATTATTGGTGCTCAGTGTCCATTGCCGGAGAAAAACGAAGTAGGTGCGTTGTCTGCTAATGATTTTTCCATAAACATGAACTGAAGATACTTCGATTTCTAGCACAGTAGCCCGTATGTCCATCTCGTTCAACTTCTCAAAATTTGCTATCACTGTAATAAATCGCAGGAAAGGTGTCATTGTCTTTGATATTAGGTTCCGCTAGCTTGATGTACTAGAGGAGTATTTCGTGTACGAAATTGGTTTGTAAACGATCTTTCATGCACGACTTGTGCACAACAGGATTTTGAAGCCACACGGATTACAAAAAGAGGCAATCCAATGGTGTAGATTAATTGTCGTGTGCGGATCGTCCCTGAATTCATTGTCTGCCTAGCAGCGCTCTTTCGTGTATTCCAACTTCCTCCTGTTGTTCTGTTCTTCACATACTGAATTAACTGTTCACAATGCAATTAATCCAGGGATATCTGGTGCAAAGTGCAATCGGACATGCTGCAAAGATTGTATGAATGGATGTACGATACAGCCAGTCATGGGTAGCGGTGACAAGTCCAGCTCTGCTGATTTTCATGGCATCATGGCAAACACGGCTGCCTGTGGCGCCTATTGTTCTCAGGAGTTCATCGAGTCAAGCACTGCCAAGTACAGTGATTCAGAGTTTATTTTGCATCCACCAGCCCCTGTGAGCTACTGTCCTCAACTATCAATTGTTTCCAACAAGGTTGGTCACGTTTCATGGAGCACATCTTCTTCTTGTAAGATCTACAGCCCCCAACTCTACAGTGCCAACTGCGATGAAACATCGGCTGGTTGGCGCCTAATCAGTGTGGCGGAGCACCCAAAAACTGACTCTGATGTAACTCTCAGCCACATAGAACAGATGTTGATGCAGGACACCGATGACAAGGTCAGAGCACCTCATGGAGAGACTGCCATTAGAACTATGGAGGAGCCCTTCTATGAACTTCTTGGACAGAAGTACCCTGTTTTGCCTGGCTTGCTACCACTTTGTGGCTGTGATCGCCTCAATATTCTTGAAAATGGCAGTGTCAGTAGGCTTAATAATGGACAGTTATGCAATAATTGCTCTGTAAAAATCAGCTCAGATAATTATCACTCCAACGGCAGCTCACAAGCTTCTCAGGCTCCATGGACTTTATCCGCCATTGTTGGAGAGGCAATACAATTCCCTCTGGGTGTTGAAGAAATGGGAATTGGTTTGAACATCAATGGCCTTTCCATTAGCCCAGAGAGTCATTCACAACATATGAATGATAAGGACACAATCAAGCATGCACCATTTCATGATCGAAGCCGAAAAGTTTTTCCGGGTATAGAAGAGCTTGATTTGTTAGAAGGAAGGATGAACAAGCAGATTGCTATTTTCTCCGATGAGCCGATCCGAAATGAGGCCTTCGACAAGGTTCTACTTTGCTCTGAGCATAAGCCCCTGGATGAAGGTATTATTTTGCAACGAACCATGGCAGATATATCCACCAAATATGCACAGAACGAACAAGGAAGAAAACCAGCTAGGCAAACGAAGAGAGGTAAAACACGAAAGAAGAAAGAGGTGGTGGATCTCAGAAGTCTCCTTATCCATTGCGCAGAAGCAGTGTCTGTGAACAACCGTACCATAGCAAGTGACATACTTAAAAGCATAAGACAACATTGTTCACCAAGTGGGGATGATACCCAGAGGCTAGCCTTTTACCTAGCAGATTGCCTGGAGATAAGATTGTCTGGAAGCGGAAGTCAGATAAATCAGAAGGTCATCACTACACCAACGAATGCAGCACATATTCTGAAGCTATGCCATCTGTGTTTCACCGTTTGTCCTTATTTGAGGTCATCATATTATCTCTCAAACAAGACAATCCTTGATGTCTCAAAGGGAAAACCAAGAGTGCACATTATCGATTTTGGCATTTTCTATGGTTTTCAGTGGCCATCATTACTGAAACAATTTGCAGATAGAGAAGGTGGGCCGCCTAAGCTTCGGATTACAGGTATAGAGCTGCCCACGCCAGGTTTCCGGCCAGATGAAATGAATAAGAACACACGGCTACGATTAACTGAATATGCCGACATATTTCAAGTACCTCTTGAATACCGACAGATTTCATCAAAATGGGAATCCATCTCCATCGAAGAATTGAACATTGACAAAGATGAAGTGCTCGTAGTCAATTGCATACTCCGAATGAAGAATGTTGGTGATGAGACAATAACCATCGATAGCGCCAGGAATAGAGTGCTCAATACCATAAGGATGATGAAACCAACAGTTTTCATTCATGGAGTTGTTAATGGATCTTACAACACCCCCTTCTTTTTATCACGTTTTAAAGAAGTCATGTACCACTACGCTTCAATGTTTGACATGCTTGACAAAACTACTCCACGAGATAACGAGACAAGAATGATCCTAGAGAGGGATATATATAAATATGCAATTCTTAATGCCATTGCATGTGAAGGATCAGAAAGGATTGAGAGGCCAGAGAGTTACAAGAAATGGAATGCAAGAAGCGTCAGGGCCAGGTTTGAGCAGCTCCCACTGAACCCAACCATTGTTAAAGGGATACAACATATGGTGAGACAGATTTATCACAAAGATTTCTTCGTCGACGAAGAAGACCAATGCCTAGTGTTGGGATGGAAGGGAAGGATACTCTACGCATTATCCACATGGAAGCCAAGTGAATCTGGCGATGAGGGTGCTTAAGGCTGCAGACATTTGCTGTTTCAGAACAAAGACAGAGGTTTGACAATTAAATCCACCGAAGTGACCGCCTGTGAGGTGCTGTCTCGACTCCCGAATGCCCTTGGATTTGTACATTTGGTAATAACTGGGTACAGTTTTGGCACATTTGAATGCAGCCTACTATCTTGAATTTGTTTCAACATTTATATTTTTCTGTTGATCTAACAACAAATGATTATCTCCAATCTACTAATATCCTAAAAGTTTATGTTGATTGTCCAACAAACAGACAACAATTAGTGGTATTTCTTTCGCCGCAATAGCAAGGCATGGCTAACACTTACCAGTAAAAACAAAAGAAACAAATCAAGCAAGGAATGGCAGAATAGCTAACTCTGCCTGTTCCGTTGTGGGCTTTATTAATTTAAAGCCGGACGCCCCTAGCGTCTTCGTTCTAAAAAAAATAGCTAACTTGATGAGAATACCTGAAAGGCTGAAATCCTGAACGAGGGATTTCTTCTGCATGATTCAGGCTAATCGATAGTGCACCCTGCTCGCTTGGCTTCTCGAGCTTCGGCTTCTGCTCCTGTGGTTCACAAACACCACCGCCATTACCAGCGTGACGGTGTCCAAAATTACCGTAGGCATACAGAGGAAAGCGACAGCGTGCTGCACGTCCAATGAGGAGAAGTGCTTACCAGTCACGCATTCTGTCGAACGCCTACAGAGCATCAACCACTCCCATGCGATCGACGTGATCCGCGCCTCCGGAGACGATTCGACCCCTTCGCCGTCGTCCAAGGCTCAAAGCTGGCGCCACCTTCTTGATCTGCCCAACCGTTGCCGCCGAACAACTTGACGCCGATCTTGCACAAGATCTGCCTGTCGCTTGGAGACCTGCAGCAATTACGCCGTCAGCTCAAATCCTACCACCGAATGCATCCGAGTTACCTCTGGTGGCAACCAGAGACGGAGCATACAAGCATTGGGTGCAGATGACACCAATGGAATTTAGCTGCTCAAGTAGCGCTAATGGAAAAAGGTTTTCGCCCTGCTTTATAAATGAAGCAAACCACCACAGCCACAAGATCCAAACCAAGGTCAACACGCACGCGTGTAGGCAATCGTACAAGAGAGTTCTGCTGAGGGCATAACTTAACAAGCTCTAACAGAAAAACAAAGACGGTAGGAGATGCTGCAAAGGGCTAATCCGGCTGAACCCAACAAGTATTCGGTCGCCTGAACCCAACAAACAATCATAGCTGAAACCATTGACTCCCTAACTGTACTATACAAAAGCCTTATAGAGCATCATATAACCGGACTGGTACCCGCCCCAAACGCCTGGATGGGCTGCCCGGTCAGTGCCTGGGCGAAGAAACATCACCCAACCTACCGTTCATTTCCGGCCCAAACGGCCGGACTGACTAGCACTCCTCGTAGTCATATCTGGTCCAAATCTGGGGCGGATATTGGGACGCCCCGACGCGCTCAGGCATGCCTGCCACATCGGACTGACCATTAAGGCCCGCACCAATTCACTAATATCTGCCTCCCCTCCTTGCCCACCACCGGACGCCGCCCAGTACGTCAAATTCCTCTGTATTTTCACCTTGCACTCTATATGTTCGATGAAATGTCTGAGCCGGTTTTTTATTCTTTCGCTCATTACTTGTAGATCATAATGGATTCATCGTGGAATCATGGCTATGGAAACGATGAGCTTAACGAATTCATATTCAATGATTTCATCGCTTTATCGGATTCAGACGATGAGGATGCTGAAATGATGACGATGAGCATCCAAGAAGAGTTTGATGATGAGGAGGAGGAGGAGGAGGACAAAATGATCGACGTGCATGTATTTGCGTGGATTTGATGTTTTAAAAACAGGAACCGTGCTTGCAAATGCCAAGATTTGATGCCCGTCCGATCACTGTCCACGGGCGTCTAAGGGCTCGGATAACCTATCTGTGATTGTAGATGCTCTTAGCCCATGTATTCAGTGCAATAGTTGTGTAACAACCTAGTAAAACAAATCAATTTGGTCGCCCGCGGTTGACTAGCCACACTATCTTTGGATCAAGTTGCTTCACCGCCGCAACAAAAAGAAGAAGAAAAATCCGAATACTCTCGTATGCTTCAACACCCTCACACTAAGAGATGGCAGTGGCAAGCTGACAATTGTTGTTCAAAATATTGGTGTCGCCTCTCTCGTCACGAGCCTTCATTCTTGCAGCCGTCAGCGGCTAGCTGACAATTCATGTTCAAAATGTTTGTACGTGTGATAGCACACCTCTCCCTCTTGTAGAAGTCTTAGCCATCCCTAACTATCTTTTTTGACAAAGAGAATATATTAATATTGCGAGATACCAATTACATTCAGCCTCTGCAACAATGAAATATCCTAAAGACATTACGGATGCACACAGCCCAAAAAATAAAAAGAAGAAGAAGAAGAAAACGAAAACTCACACTACAGTGTTCAATTCCTTATAACCGCAGCACGAACCACCTCCAAGACAACACCCGAAGTCCAAAATCTCCAAAAGCACCGTCGTCACCTGATCATAGATCTTAGGTTTTTACCCTGAAGAAAATCCGCGCTCTCGAAACAATGCCTTCAATAAGGCCACTGCCAGACACAAGCAATTAAGTCCAGACCTTGGGTTTTCACCCTGAAAGCTTAGAATATGTACTCCTCCTGTGCCGCCATCCCCACTTGCCGATGCTGCTCCTATGAGTCATGAAACACCAAGCAAAGTCCTCATCGCCTGGACAACTCGGTCCACCATTACTAGGCCTCTCACCTTAGCCACCATGACGTTCTCCGCCACTGTCTTCACCATAAAATTCGAAATCCGACATGTCCCATAATGTCAACAGACAACGAAGCTTCGCGTCACGCCCTCCTGAAGCCACGCGGCGGGCTGAAATAGGGGCGCGCACGACTGAATCCCATCCGACCAGCAATCTAGAGACGTCAAGCAACAATGGAGATCTCCGGTGGAGCCTTCCAGAACTCGTCAATGGGTAGATCAATGAGGGCCGGCATCAGAACACCATCTTGGCGCTAGAAGAACCCTAGGACCGCCTCAATTAATTAACCAAGCAAACCAGCAAGCCCCACGCCACCGGTCAAAACAACAGAGGAGAAGGCAACCACAGCGCCGCCTGCGCAGATGTGCACTCGCCCCTGGCTCGCCACTCTGGCTCGCGCCCCCACACCATGTGTAGGAGCCAACAGCTACCGCCTGCCAAAGCCACCGGCCAACCCCACCTTGTGCCCCATCCAACACCGATCGGATCTAGGAACGGAGCCCCGAATCCACCCCGCCCCGTACCAATCTGCACCCGAGCTAGCGAGCCGCTGCACAAGGGAAGGCGGAACTGGCCGGCAGGCGCCGCGTGTCGGGTAGGGAGCAGCGCGGAGAGACCCAAGGGGCTAGGCGAGACGAGCGGGATCTGATGCCCCAAACCGCCGAGACGCCACGCAACAGAGCCGCCCTCGCCGGCGGCGGCGGCGCAGGGAAGGGAGTGTGGAGGATGTGGAGGCGGGGCAAGCAGGGTCGCTCCCGAGTCGCCTGGCGTGGCGACGCGGGGAGTCCCTAACTATCTAATTGTTTTTTTTTGTGCGTGAACTTTGATCTAGGTCATGGAACAACATTCTGCAAAAAGAACGGTCAATAGATCAAGATAATAAAACAAGTACTTCAAGGCCGCCCTTATACGCAAGAAAACAAATGTTGCTACTGCTAGTCCCACAAAGCATTTTATTCATATAGACATTTATTTGGATTATCTATCATATTCCGACTAATCGAAAGGAAATTCCAAAATACATATAATATCTTGATCAAGTAAGATTGAGATTAGGAGAAGAGTTATGTGCTAATTATAATACGAGGAGCTTACTGAAGCTAGTTGAGTTTTATTCATATGATTTTTTATTTAGATAAAATGCATGATCTTGGTTCTGATGGAATTACCGTCTTGCTAGATTAATGGTGCAGGACATATAAGCATATCGTTTTTTTTCCTTTGGTATACCAACCTGTAAAACTAGTACGTTTTCACGGAATTAATTAACAATTACTTTTGGTCAATGATTGTTGTGGATAAGATGCAAGAAAATGAGCGATCACTCCATGAGTGATTTTCTATAATTTGCTATCGAATAAGAGAAAAAAAAAACTTTACAGTAATGATGATGTGACTGATCCTTTTTAAAATGATGAAAGACAGAGAAACTTTGAAATGATAGTGACTATATGCATGCTTGGCTTAATTGCACTTATTTATAACTTAAGATATACCACTACATAGTGTACTAGTTTTGAATGGGTCCAGAGCACAATCATGATCATTGGTATCCTCAATCTAACGGTAGAAAGCAATAGGAATCACATGAACAGTACATCTGCCTTCAATGTATTCTAGAACGCTCTGGCCATGCTGCGGTCAGCAAAGGACGTGCTGTGTGACTTGAGATGGGTCTAGAAAAAGAACAAGAGGGAGAAGAAATAGCCGCGTCGGCGTCCCGTCCTAAGCTCACTTAAAAACTTGGTTCCCACTACTGCTGCGTCGTTGTGCCCCGTCGATGGACCATCTCGTTGTGCCCTTTCGCCTCCCGGCTTGATCGGGGCGGTTCGAGTAGGCCTGCTCTGATCCAGAAGCGGAAACAATTTCGACGCAAATACAGTACTGAATATATATTGTCTCAACAAAATATTGTCTCACACAAATAAACATAACAGTAGTGATACAGTATGGAATATATATTTTGTCTCACACAAATAAATAATAAACAAGCTTCAACAGATTGTCATAATAGAAGTCTTAAACAAAATAGTCTCACACACATATATTATTTCGTCTCACACAAAAGACCTATAATCAAACTTCAACAAGTTGTCTCAAAAGCCTTCAACGAAACAGTCTCACACATACTCCGGAATGACGCATCATAATCACATGCAAATTGGAAACCGGTTAAACAGTAACGCAAGTTCTTCCGGAGT